TGACAGTTGCTTAGCATTTCAATTAAGGAAGCTTTGAAACTATTACAGCAAACCAACTAATCGCAATGGACACTCTTATGCACAACCCACAGGAATGTGCTCTGCCTATAATCAGCACTATATTCTTATGTATCAAATACATCAACGACCTTCAAGAAGCCTTTAGCTTACTGCTTTAATTTAAAATTCATTTTGTTGTATTTTTCTGTAACCTTGATACTATACAGCATGGCCTCAAGAGGAATTCATTCATACTTGCTTTGACTATTGAACATCTTGTGGTTTAAGCAGATTAGGGCTAAACTTCCCTGGTTTATTGAATATAGTTTGTTTTCTAAAATATTTTGATTTTTATATCGCTACTGAGGTCAAAGGTAGAGTTGTTCCTTCATTTTGCTATCTAAGAGTGTCTTCTCTATGATAAAACCCTGATGTAGTAGTGAATTAATGAGACCTTCCCTTTTTTCAGAGGCTGTTTCAAGAGTAAAGCGAATGGGAGAAATTGTGCTGCTGCTAAAGCTTCTAAAGTGGTTCATCATTTTAAACAGAAGTAGTATATTATTGAACATAATGGTTTCAAAGGGAAAACAGAATATGAGCTTAACAAAGCTGAATCATTTATTTGCTTTACACATTAATAATATTCCTCAGCACCCTGATCATTTGTATCTTTTCTTTTCCTGGTGATTAAGTTTGAATTCACCAGATTTACTCCAACATTGGTCACCTTGAATAAATTTTGAAGGCCAATCCTGACCTAATTGTCTGTATATTATGACTATCAGATCTGGGTTGAAATCATCTGGACAGCCAGTAGATAGTAACAAAGAGTTAATGTTTTTTATTATCTCCTAACTTCTATCTAGTTGATGTCTTTTTTTTTTTTTTTTGTTATAGCACAGATCTGGCCTACTGGGATAAATAAAGCTAGCTTCTGAAAATCTGGTCTCTGAGTTAATTTATTTTCACCGCAAAACCTTTTCAGTAGCTCAGTTATTCTCAGATGTTCTTTCAGGGTCCCTCAGCTGATTGAACACTCAAAATAGCTGGATTGTCGAAACCTTAAAATGGCCCGTTTTAAAGTAAGTTGGTCAAGATTTGGGAATATTATTTAAATAACTATGGCAATGCCTAATATATTTTGCTATATCTCATTGACATACTATGTGGGTAAATATCTGGTATTACACAGTGTTCTTGTTCATATGTATGCAAATAGATCTCTGTTCTCTGAAACCAGAAGTTCAGATATCTTTGCAATGGGACACTATGAACAAAACGTATGCACTGTAGTTCAGCAAAAATGAGGTATGCTAATTGGATCAACACAACAAATATTATTTGAGGATTCTTGGTACTCCTAAAATAAAGCAAAATCTGTTTGTTTATCTTACTTGGAAATAAGGGGAACCCAACAAGGTGTTTTCCTAGAATTTAGCGGGCACAGGCCATCTTTAGCTTATAGTTTCAAAGGTGCTTTTACAAAGGGCAACAGGACTATTTTTTTCCTTGAGAAAAAAGATGTTTTGCTTCCATTCAAGAAGCTCCATGTAGCCCCAACCATCCTGCCAGAACTGATGGAGCTTCTTGGATGAGAAGCGAAGCATTTACTTCTTTTTCCTCATGGAAAAAACAATCCAGTTTTGAAAAAGCACCTTTGAGACAATTATGATCTGGATGACCGAGAATTTCCACAGACCTTTGGCCTGTAGATTTGTAGACCACAGGTTTCAAGGCAGATCAAGCATCCAGCCAGGCTATATAATTCCAACATTGATTTGAATTATTAACAGTAAACTTTTAATATTGTATTTTTCCTCTTGTTAAATTGTTTGGGACTTATTGGACTGAGCAGGATATACACTACAGAAAACAAAACTGTTATTAAGGACTTCTCTACTGAACAAAATGTCTGCAAAACTGCCTTTGTAAAAAAAAAAAAAAAAGACCTGTCCTTGAACTGATATGACCAAAACAACAAAGATGAGAACTTTCAGAACTTTCAACAAAGAACTTTCAGAAGAAACTATGGAAAAGATGGTAAAGAGTGTGAGTTTCTGGTTATGCTAGCTTAAGTATCCTGAACACCTCAAAAAGGGGGTTGTATCCTTTCAGTTTATTCAGCAAATAAATGAATTACTCACTCTTGAGAGAGTCAGCAACTCATTGCCCATGATACAAACCATTGCAAGGAATTAGCATTTTGAGAGGCCTCCAAGCATCAGTGACCCAAATATTACATATGCAGAAACTGTGAATGCTTATGGGTAGCAGCTGGATCCAGCTTGAAATAGGTTTGGGATGCTGGCTACAAATATGTCAAGAGGCTTCCCAGAAGAGCCAAATTCTATCTTTGTAAGAAATAATAAGTATGGTAAAGAAATGTGGTCTGAGTACCAGAGGTCAAGTTCTAGAAAGCAGCATAAAAACTATGATTTCAGAAAAAGTACAGCATAAATATATACTGGTAATCTTTGACTTATAACCCCAGTTGAGACCAATATTTATGTTAAGTGAGACATTTATTGAGTTTTGCCCCATTTAATGGCATTTTTTTATCACAACTGTTAAGTGAATCACTACAGTTAAGTTAGTAACCTGGTTGTTAAGTGAATCTGGCTTCCCCATTGACTTTGCTTGTCAGAGAGTCGCAAAAGGTGACACTGCAACTGTCATAAATATGAGTCATTGGCCAAGTATCAGAATTTTGATCATGTGATGATGGGGATGCTGCAATGGTTGCCAGTGAAAAACAGTCATAAGTCACTTTTTTCAGTGCAGCTTTAACTTTGAATGATCACTAAATGAATTGTTGTAGCTCATTTAATGACCATTCACTTAACAACAAAAATTTTGGGCTCAGTTGTGATCATAAGTTGAGGCCTACTTATATGCATGTTGCAGACAAATGCCTGTATAAATTTACAATTTAACTGAGGGCTCCTCCTCCTCCTCCTCACAGGTTGGTTGACTGATTTCAGGGAGTTATACTAACTATATTGATTACTTGAAAACATTCTCTCCCCAGGCTGTGATGCCAGTGACAATTACATAGCCAGTTATTGCATGGATGCTTTTGGCAGGAAAAAAACATAAAAGATTTATGGTAAAAGATGCCAAGTATAAGAGTGAACCTAAAGATATTACATATGATTTTAATTATAGTAATAAAAACTAATAACTGAACTTGGAAAGATAAAATAAAGTAAAATGAGAGTAAAAAGTACAAAGAAAGAAAAAGGAAAAAAGGAAAGGGTCAAATAAATAAAAAGAAGTATATGAAGAACTAACTTCCAGTTTTCTTTCACAACAAGTATAAACAATAGTGGCAGATATCCAGAACCAAAGACAAGATACAGAAGGATGAAAAAAACAATGTAATCTACAAAATCAACTGTAACCATGTGACCAATTCTACCGTGTTTCTCCAACAATACGGCCTCCACCAATAGGAAGGCCCAGCATGATTTCTAGGCATGAGGTGAAATTAAGCCCCGCCCCCAAAATTTAGGCCTATTTAAACCATGCGTTCCCCTGCCATTTCTCACATCGTTCGTTAGAACTACATGAGGTGAAGAGAAATGGGGGGGAAGGGCGGGGGGGATGGGGAGAAAACTTGCCTTTAGGAGTGCCCTGCAGGTAGCCTAGGCTAGAATACCCCGATAGCCAGCCACTTCAATCAGCCAGTAGAAGCGGCCTCGGGGCGAGCGCACATACACACTCCCCTCGCCACGAGGCCGCTTCTATCAGCAGACAGCCGCTTCAGGACATGGCATGGCTACCCGTGTCCCCTTGCCTTTAGGCAGTCTCTTTTTGGCGATGGAAGCTCTCCAAGTACAGTCACCAGCCACTCCGACCAGCCAGTAGAAGGGGCCTCGGGGCGAGTGCACACACACAGTCCCCTCGCCGTGAGGCCGCTTCTACCGGCCGATCCAAGTGCCTGGTATACTGGAGTATACGTAAAAGCAAGAAAAAACTCATTATTCTTCAGGCTGTGTAATGGTAAATTAGTTGTCTTACATTTTGAAAACATTACTATTATCATATTGTATGTACTATGTGATGAAATATAGAGATTTATGATGTGGCATATTCCTTTTCCACATAAAGGAATGTCTGAAATGAGGTTTTTGAAATGTATATGTTACATAATTCAACCTTGTAGCAGATTTTTTTTCCTGACCCTTCTAATTAGAGGTAGTCTTTATTTAATGACTGGTCGCTTGATGATTGTTAGAAGTTACAATGGACTTTAAAAAAAGTTACCCATCCTTGAAGTTATGACAGCCACGCCCACTCCTGTGGTCACATGATACATTTCAGGCACTTGGCAACTAGCTTGCACGTATCACTGGTTGCAGCGTCTTGTGGTGTGATTACATGTCTGTGATTTGTGGTTTTTTTTTTTGCCAAATATCGTTTGTTTAACAACCATGGCATTTGCTTAACAACCATTTTAAAAATGGTTGTAAAATTGAATCAAGCCTCCTGGTTACCCTCTTAATGATAGCAATGACCTACGACCAAAATTCCGAGGTCAGTTGTGGTTGTAAGTCAAGGACCACCTAGACTACAATAATATGAATTCCTCAGTCATTAGAACTCTCTATGCATATAGGAAGTGAATTATGCTTGGAAAAAAATATTGGAGTTGCTTTCAAATAAGTGTCTATAAAGATTGGATTGCTACTGTGAAAGAGCACAATTATAGTCCAGTCCTAAATACCAACTTGATATTATTATTCTGTACTTCCTTTTTCAATTATGAATTGTAACATCATATTGGCTAATGATCTGTAACAGGCTGAGGCAGCCATCCAGAAAAAAGCATCATTCACACAAAGGGTGAATTAAGGCTCTTTTGGTTCTTTTGGCAAACTTTGCGAAAGCAAAATATATTCACCAAACATCCTGACTTTTGAGATCAAAGAAAATGCTCTCATGTGTGGACTGAGTTTTTAAAAAATATTTTTTCACTTTTCCTTCCTCTTTGCTTATAGGAAGGATCAACACCTCCTTTCTCCTGTGAACTGCTGGTATCTAGTGTTGACACAGACCCGAAGAGAGAGCAGAGACCATGCCACCCTGAATGATATCTTCATGAATAATGTCATTGTCAGACTTTCCCAGATTAGTGAGGATGTTATTCGGCTGTTTAAAAAGGTAAATGTGTTGTTTACTATATCTTCTCTGGCAAAAGAAGGATCATGTCTAAAACCAATTCAATTTTGTGTTTGCATATCATATATATGGAAGAATAAGAATGAATGCTGATGGGACCTTTTCTCTGAAGGTTATGGGTGAGAATAGAAGGACTAAATGAGAATTGAACAAAATGATGCTGGGGAGAGAAGAAAGAAGGCTGAATTGTCCACTCTTTGCCTGCTAATAAGGAAATCTGCCTAGACTTGTCTTGTTCTATTAAAGGACTTCTGTTTCTATTCCAGACTTCTAAAATGTATAACATTTCCCTAGCATTCACCTGTATGCAGGTAGGCAAGGATTTGCTGGTGTCGACATATTCATTTTATCATTAGAAAAAAAAACATGGGGAAAAATAACATTATAATAAGCTATCACTTACTGATTTCTCCTTCTCCATTTTGTAATAATTTCTATTGTAATTGTAGAGTTACCATGGATAGAAAGAGCAACCAATAGACAGGTGCTGAATCATATAAAACCCAGACACGTCATTAGAAGTCAAAATCAAAAGACCATGTCTGATTTACTTTGGCCCTGTCGTGCGTGTAAATTCATTGGAGAAATCAGTGATGCTAGGAATGGTTCGTGGAATAAGAAGAAGGGGCAAGCAAAGAACACTCTGGTTTGATAACTTCAAAACTGATACTAAGATGAACATCCAGCAACTGAAAGAAGCTGTCCTTGACAGAGTTGCCTGGAGAGCACTTGGCTGCAACGTTGCCAAGAGTCGGACATGACTGAATGTTTAAAACAACAACAAATTGTAATAATATCAGTTACTTTTGCCATAGCATCAGAGTTGCCTGCATTTATCTGGGCAAGTTAAACCTAAAAGTTATGAGGGTGAATGCAAGAGATCCTGTTCTGGATGGGTATACATTGTGCAAAATGTCATGTGTTAGGCTGGCTAATACCCATTCCATTTACTTAGCTTTGTTAGGAGGCAGATAAGCTCATGGCAATCCTGAGAGGAACATAATGCAATGTTATATTAAATGGCTGACTTTTATTAGGTCGATCTAGAGAAATGAAACTGAAGCAGCCTGGGTTCTTTCCTACATAAGCTGCTCGGTGTTGTGGCTGAATTTATGCCTAACAATTTGGAGGACTTTAACTCACTTCCTCTGGAATGGGAATTAGAGGCAGCTTAGGAGTTGATGTCCTCCACAGACCTGAGTCAAAATATCGATTATTTGATATACATTGGGGGGTGGGGGTGGGAGGGTTCACATGCTAGGTTTCTGTACTGAAGCAGTAGGAATGTGATTGGGAGTTAAGCGACAACATAATTACAGGTAGTCCTCAACTTTCAACCATTCGTTTAGTGACTGAAGTTACAATGGCATTGAAAAAAGTGACTTATGACTGTTTCACACTTACGATTGTTGCAGCATCCCTATGGTCACAAGACCAGAATTTAAAGGCTTGCCAACTGGCATGTATTTATGATGGCTGCAGTGTCCTGGGGTCATGTGACTTCTGATTAGCAAAGTCAACTTCAGTGATTCCCTTAACAACTGTGGCAAGAAAGATGGTAAAATGGGGCTGAACAGTGATTCACTTAACAACCGTCATGCTTAGTAACAGAAATTTTGAGTTCGATTGTAGCCACTTAGCCTTGGAATTCTCTGTAGCTCCTCCTCATCCCATTTCATGGAGGAAGGATTTATTCAATAAGTTTATCTGAGGGTCCTTATTTCTCTGCTCTTATTGTTGGGAGTGTATTGCAGGTGACTCCTGTGTAAGTAGAGACCATGGAGACCCACTGCAAGTTCCTTGCAGGGACTTTTCTAGGTATCTGTTGGAAAAAGACATTTGGATTTGCTTGGAATTATGGAACTGAATAGAAGCTGTTGTGCCCAATGATCTGGACAGAGTTTGCGGTGGCGCAGTGGTTAGAGTGCAATACTGCAGGCTACTTCTGCAGACTGCCAGCTGCCTGCAATTTGGCAGTTCAAATCTCACCAGGCTCAAGGTTGACTCAGCCTTCCATCCTTCCAAGGTGGGTAAAATGAGGACCCAAATTGTTGGGGGCTGACTCTATAAACTGCTTAGAGAAGGCTGTAAAGCACTGTGAAGCAGCATATAAGTCTAAGTGCTATTGCTATTGCTAAAGACCATGTTTTAGATCCAGGTCTCCCCTGTCTGGGGATTTCCTTGCTGGGAAATATTTTCTTGTGGGAAGAAACAGTTGGGACTCCTTTAAGGGAAGCAGTGGTTTGTCTGCTGTTAAAATGCAATAGGTGGATCTAACTGCCCTGGAGGATTTAAAAAGGGCTCTTGAGGAAATGGATTATGAAACATTATTCAGGTCCAATTATACTCCTGAGATGGCATTGATCTTCCTTGTAGATGAGCTCTGGAGGCTTGTGATGGAGATGGTAGCTCCGTCTTGGAATTCCTTTAACTTCTGGCAATTGATCAATCATGGTATCCCTGATTAGTATAGGAGGATTGGAGTGAGGAGCAGAGTTTTATGAAGATTCTCTTCCTTCTTCTGAGGCTGGTTTCAGTTGTTGTTGGTAAAAGGGGGTGTGTTTTACAGGGTGCCTCAATGATGCCTCAAAAACTTGAGTCTCTCCCCATTCCTATTTTTAACATTGGGTGAAATCATCAGTACAGGTCAAGTATCATCAATATATTGATGATATGTAGTTGTATACCTCTCTCCAAGTTTTCCAAGCAATGCTGTCAAGGTTCTTTCTCAGTATCTGAAAGCACTGAGGTTCTAAGATAGGGAATAACAGAATCCAGCTCTACCCCTATAAGACTTGAGTACTGTGGGTTTTGGAGACTTTTGGATCTGGACCTTTTGCATTGTTAACTCTGGATGAGGCAGCATTTCCCCAGACAGGGTTGTCCCAAAAGTGCTTTTCCAAAAAGCACTTAACTTTCTTGGTTTTTCTTTGAAAATGCTTCATTTCTCATCCAAGAAGTGTCTTCAGTTTGAACTGCATCACCTGTTCCTGGATTAGGTAGCATTATTCAGGATCACTCATGCTTTAGTCACTTCCCACTTCCCTATTGCAACACAGTCTTCTTGGGGGCGCCCTTGAGAAGCATTCAGAAGCTGCAGCTAGGGTATACCATTTTGAGTACACCACAGCACTCCTCCATAATCCCACTGCACCAAAGTGCTGCATTACTTCCCCATAGGCTTCCAGTTGTACTTCAATATGTTAGCTGTCACCTTTAAAGCCCTGCGTGGAATAGGAAGAGGTTACTTGTGAGACCGTCTGTCTCGGATAGTTGCTGCCTTTTCATCCAATTTGATTTCTGTGAAACAATGTCATTTAATGATACCCAGGATGTGTACTTTCTCATTCATGGTGCCCACCTTATGGAACAACCTCCCATTTGAAATTAGATGGCTCCAAATCTCATAGGTCTTAAAAGTCCATGAGCAATGGGATTGAATGGGCAATGGGATTGAAATGTTAGTGGAACTTGGAAGGGATATCTTGTTTTACGGTGTCAAGTAGCTGTGGGATGTCTCAGTCATTTTAAAACTGTTTTAAAGCTCTTAAAAGTACATGCTGTGTTTCCATCTCTATTTTTGTTAACCATCTAAAGCTATATTTAAAATGCATGGGTATATAAGTGCATTTATTTACTGGCACATTTATTTGATTAAATGTATCGGCATAATTCTGGATACCATTTCAATAGTAATTCTTGGGAAAGTAGTTTGAAATTGCAGGTTTTCTGATTTGTTGATTAGATCTGTGTTAACAATATTTCCTCCACTAACTACACTGAAAAGCAAGTAATATTAGGCCTGACTCCATCTGCAGCTTGCTGTATATAGCACCTGCTTTTAATCAGGCTAAAGCCACATTATTCACTTTTGCATCTGCACCTGAGATTATGTTCACAATGTCTCTCTTGAGATATCAGTAGAGTTCACATGTCTCTGCATATAATGAGTTAAAGCCACAGCTGAAGGCTTGGTTGTTATTGTTGGAATAAGCTCTTAGCGGAGAAATTTACCCAGGTATAAACAGTACCTTATACTGACAAATCTAGCCTTTCTTTCCCTTAATCAAGTTTGCATTACTCCAAGTCTTTGCTTTCCTATTCATATTACAGGTACTCTTAGTTCAGGGGTGTCAAACTGGCGGCCCACCGGGCCGGATGCGTCACACACAGGTCATGCCCACCCCAGCTTCACGAATGGGAAAAATGTCTGCGAAATGTCATGTGACAGCAATGTGATGCAGTGAGTTTGACACCCATGTCCTAGTTTTAACAATTGCGACTAGCTAATCAGTTGTTAAGTGAAGCAGTTGCTAAGTGAAATCATGGCTGTGCTTATGATGTTTCTTCATCCTTCCTTTGCTTTATAGACATGCAAATATTTTAAATGCCAGGATTTTTTGCAAAATTATTTTTTCATCACCATCATAACTGAAAATGCACACTAAATGTTAAATAAGGTTCACCTGTTTTTGTTATATTTGGATAGCATTCAAGATAAGAAGGCACATATCTTACACCATGGCATTACTGCTTGACATTAAAATATCGGCAGGCCGAATGCTGGTCAGCGAGGACAGGATTGTAATCTTTGAAACCATAAGTTTCCAAAGTAGATACCTGACCAAAAAAGTCTTGATTTTGTAAAAAGAGACAATTTTTTATGAATTACTACATTCTGGGAACAATTAGACTTTTTAATTTGAAATTATGCCCCATGTAGTTTTAATGATCTGTCCACTGTATTTTAAGCCAGGATGATTAATCTGAACTAGCTTAACAAGAATGCAGCGCACAAACAGGATTAGTATATCATGTGAAAATTGTAGGGGAGGGAAGTCACCTGACACTTCAAAATGATTGCCTGAATGAGGCCCCTGTCCCTGCTTCAGTTAATGGAAGCTTATTTCTTGAAATAAATTTTCCAGGTTTTTATCCAATTTGCAGAGGTTGCACTCAAATCCGTTTTAATAATATATGCT